TTTCAGTTCAGTTGACAAAATACGAGTTCCCGAGAAAAAAGAACTATATAATTATACACGTCAACAGAATAGAATTTTTCACAAAAGAATGAGAATTCGATAAGAGTTTCTTGTTGCAAAATAAATTTAATGCATTCTCTTCCTACAAATGTATCTTTTGCGAACAATCTAAGGAATTTTTCATCATAGGAACAGAAAAACACGCGACCGTGTCTTAATTCGGGGAATATATTAACGAATAATTCATATTTTTTTGTTCTCTGAAACACGTATAATTTCGTAGTTAGTTACTACTAATTGAATCTTCGTTAAATTTTTACTGATTATAATCGTTATTACTAATTTTCTATCATTAATTATATCGCCAATTATATTATGATATTCTTTAATCCTTTTGATTTCTAATTAAACACTTTTTAATTTACATCGAATAAATTTCTTAAAATTTACAATTAATAGATTTTATACGATTTTTTGTTTCTTTTTCTTCTTTTTTTTTTCATTTCAGATAATATACGTTTGATAATGTTGTAATCTCTTGTATAATAATATAAATCAATTAATGGTAAATTATGAAAGTAACTTTACGCAACAGAAATTTGATAAAATAATAATATTTAATTATTATTCAATTGTTACGTATTGATATATTACAATATTACAATATTATACAAGAAATTTCTTTAGATATCTACGAATATAATTATAAATCAATGCAATGGAAGAAAGATCGCTGAAGAACTTAATCCACAAAAAGAATTTTAATATCAACGATTTATTTTAAAATATCGAAAGTGAAAGAGAAAGATAATTTTATGATAATCTTTCAACTTTTATAATCTTTTTCTTTTTTTTAAATTCTTACTCGATTTCGATTGCACATCGAGCGTTTTCAATTTATATTAGCTTGAAATTTTCACACGAAACTTGTTCGATCTCTCTTTAAAAGCGTATTCGTACCGTCTGAGGAGCAGCAACAAGGATTAACGCAATTAGTAATGCCCTACTCGTTACGAGGATGCGCTCTTAATAGCGCATTGTCTTTTCAAGAAACAGTGAGTAGGAGGAATACCTATCCTTCATAAATCGCACGAACAACAGATTTTCTAATTTATGTTAATTCCTTATGCTTATCTCGAGACAAACGCGAGAGTTTCCTTTTAACGAATTTATCCTTTTGCGATATTTATCGAACTGATCGATCCATATCACTTCGCTTTTGTCGAAGTTTGAAATGTAGATTTTATTACATGCAACGATCAAACAGTTACGAATTGAAAATAATTTAATTCTTCAATCCTCTCAGGAGTATTAAAAAATTATTTACTTGACTTTTTTTCTCATTACTTGTGGATAAATTTCTAGGAAGAAGGAGATCGTTAACATTCGAGCAAAATGTAATTAAAATAATTTAACGATACACGAGCAATTTAATCGGTTCATTCAAGGTTAATTCGATTTTAATTCGATCGTTCGATTTTTCGATTGTTAGTTGCGTCATTATCTTCTAAATTCGTTATTCATCTTAATTCATGCATGATTATTGAAATCATCGTGGAAGAAACGAGAAGAAGAAAATATTTTTCTCTTCGATCACTAAATTTTCTTCTGTATTATAAAAATATTGTGTTGTTATTAAATTTATTCCAATTTGTGTTTGGAAGGAGAATTGTTCATAGTCAAACGTGTCCCACTTTTTAACCTATTCAAAGACGTGGTGGATGCTCTTATATGACCGAACACCGCTATTAGAAAGCGTATTACGCGATTATGGAGCTTTGTTTATCCCTCATTATCCAGCTAACGTTGATAACTAGTTGGTAATTTAATTTTTTTTTCACGGATCTTTTATATAATCTCCATTTCTAGACACATGTCTAGGCTGCTGCCTTCTATGATTCATCGTGTGTTACATGTAAAATGTGAATCTTAATATTTTTATTCGTGATTTATCGGGGACAACGTTAATCGAATGAATTATCTTATTAACAATTTAATGTGGAAAGAAAAGTTATTATATATACCACTATTGAAACTCGAAAATGTAACATTTGTTTGTTGTTACAATAATTTATCATTATTATTATCAGGTTTAACTATAGAACAATAATATTAGCGATACGTTTAAACGAATTCAATTTTCTTCCTTTTGCAATTCCTGCAATTCAGAATATGAATTTTCTCTCTTACGTACGTAGAGTCACGCGATTTCAATTAAATGATACGAGTGTAGATACAGGAAACTGCCAAATAAGAAGAACAAAATTTCACGTGACTGGAAACTTTTAATTAAAAAAAAAAAAAAAAACCTACGAATCGCAACGATCGCGTGTTCAAAAATTTTTT